GGCGGGGCGGGTCCGCGCCCGGGCGGACGCGGCGGTTCTCGGGGGCGGCCCGGTCTGATGCAAGAATCTGGTCCCAGCCCCTTCTTCCGGGAGCTGCGAAGGCCGCCCCGCCTCTCGGACCTTTGTCTCGCGGCCGCTGCCTGGTGGGTGGAGCTCCCGCGAAAGGCTGCGATTCTGCTTACTCACCGGGGACTTTGTTCCTCCTCCTTCCAGGACCTGGTCAAGAATCACCTGATGTATGCTGTGAGGGAGGAGGTGGAGGTCCTGAAGGAGCAGATCAAGGAGCTGGCAGAGAAGAACTCCCAGCTGGAGCGAGAGAACAGCTTGCTGAAGAACTTGGCCAGCCCGGAGCAGCTGCAGAAGTTCAGGTCCCACCTGCCCCTGGAGGGGCTCTCAGCAGCTGCTGAAAAGACCAGCCAGGGAACAGCTGCCCCCGCCCAGCACACGGCAGGCTCTGCGGTGTAAGGTGGCTCTGTCCATGGGGTGGGCAGAGCCACAGAACTTTTTCAACTTGATCTCCAAGTGAACATGGTTTCCTCACATCTCCTTTGGAGGACTCCATAGTGGCGTGAGGGGGCCCTTAATCCATGGCCCCTTCCTTGGGTTGGCCAGAGACTCTCCTGAGAAAAGGAGCAAGGCTGCACTGGAGTTGCTACGGGCACACAGCTGCTCTGCCTGCAGGAGATCCAGGTTTGCCTCCCCCCAGCTCTTCCTGGAGAGACTGCTGAAGAGGGGGTGCCTGTCTCGACGGCCAAAGACAGTTTGTTGGAAGAAGCATGTTGGTGGTTTTCTTCAGCAGCAAAGAGAAAAGGCAGCCCCTGCCTGTCCTGGGCTGGGAACAATCAGCTGTCGCTCCACCTGTAGGGGAGCAGCTGGGGGGCTTGCAAGGTTTCACCCTTGGCCCTGCGCTGGCCCTCTTATTCCACAAGATCCAGACATCTGTGTGCATGATACTGGCCTGCTACAGACTTGCACAGGTGGGGAACTCTGCCAAGATGTGGACTAGGATGAGGATTGCATGCCAGTGGGAAGGTGCTTGCTCTTCTGCTGTGGTTTGTTTACTGAATTTTGCATACTGACAACAGCCTCCCCTGTGGGGGGGACTCAGTTCAACTCCTTTACCAATGTTCCCTGTGGCCCCTGGATCTGTTGATGGGGACCAAGGGCCCTGCACAGCCAGTGAGGATTGCAGGGAGAGCAAGAGGAGGTGGCTGAGGGGCGCTGGCTTAAACACCCCCGTGATGGGAGTCTTGCTTCTGTAGTGCACTCTGGAATGGGTGCATGATGAGACGTCGCAATAAAGTCTGTTTTACACATCTGTCCAGCAGCAGATCAGTCTTGCCAAGGGAGAGGTATGCGGAGTGGACAGTGGACGGTGGCAGTGGGAGCATGTGCAGGGGAGCTGTGGATTGGAGCAATAGAAGCAGCCGTGGGGGAGGGATCCCAATTTTTCCATCCCCCACAAAATCTTGTTTGGCCTGGAAGAAACCAGGAGGGAATAGTTTTCCAATTTGTGATTAGGACAATCCCTGAGAAATCCCTCCCTGATTAGGCTGCGGCTTGCCCCCCATTGTCCATTTGGGAGGTCTTGTATGTATGGATTGGCGCACATTGTGGTGGCTGGTACAGGGCAGCTACCCTTCAAGGTGACTCAGGATTAAAGAAAGGCAAACATTAATGGAAAACAAATACCCATGATGTGATTGTAGTTTGTTCAACCCAATTTTCTGGGCTTGTTCAAGACATGGAATCATAAATTAGCCATGTGGGCTGGGATATGTGCTGGTATAGAGCTGCAACACGCCATCTGCCCAGTTAGCATGAGGTGGGACCCTGACAGTAGCAGGAATCAACCAGTAATGCTCTAAGATGACCACCCGCCCCCAGACACTGCAAGAGCAGAGAAATGAAGGGACTATCTTCACCAAAGATGAGCCTGCTCCTGGTCGTCCTACAGCTGCATCAAAGGAGTAATTGCATTGGGGGGCAGAGGGCCAGCCTCCTGTGGGCTGAAGTGTTTGCAGACAGCCTTTGGGGTTGGATATTTGCCCCCACCTGGAAGGAAGCAGCCAAGTCAGGAACTCTTAGGAAGCACTGTGGTGCCTGCGTGGGGCCTTCCCTGCTGCAAATGCCCATCCCTTGCCTGTTCCATAGAAGACCTGCCCCAGGGCTATGGCCCACATAGGGACACTCCTTTTGTGTCGGGGTGATCGCTGTGAGCCCATTTCCTGCGGGGAGGAGGCCCGTCTGATCTGCCCAACGGCCAGCTCCAAACCCCACCTCCCCTGTTGCAGAGCTGGCAGCTTGGGGGGTTGGCGGCGGGATTTTTCTTCCTGCCTGATTGCACACCTTTAAGCCCACTGCCTCGTTTCTGTTGTTTGCAGAGCTCAAGGTCATCCCGGCGTTTGGCTTTGACGGGGAAGCTCTGGAAAGAGCTCTCCCTCTGGGCTCACATCCCCCTTCTGCTTGCCAAGGGGTCTGCCAGGCTCGGTGCCCAGTAAATGGACTGGACGCCTCCACCGCCCCTCTTGCTGAACCAGCTGGAGGTTGGGCAGATCCATGGCGGTGTGCCGTGTAAGGCAGCCCCGTCCACTTCCAGCTTTCATGAGCCGGGAATGGCTTAATTGGGGGGCCCCGTTGGGGAAACGGTGCGCTCCGGAGGAGAGCACGTGGCGTCTCTCGAGGGTGCTGCTTTTTGCTGTGAAGGGAGAGCCGGAGCAGCCGAGGCTTACTCGGACGGCTGCGGGAAGAAACAGCTGGGAGGGCCGGAGGTTGTCGCCTGCACGCCCTGCGGCGTGGCAGCCTCGGG